CATATTAATATCAAATGAATCTTGAATCTTGAATGAAACAACTAAAAAGGATGAGTAAAAGTTATGACATTATGCAAATTAATCTGAAATGTTAGTATCAATATTACCATACTAACCAAACATAAAGTGCAGTATATTGTAAAGTTAAAATTATTTTGCATAGAAAATACAAAAAAAGACTTTGCAGAAAATCACTTGAAAATTATGTGTGTAGATGATAAAATTGGTGGTAGTATATATTGAGATGACGAAAAAATGCGACAATTTACAAAATTAGGTGTAAAATTTGAGCCAAATAAAATATTGATTGACTTCATTTGACTATTAACATTATCCCACTACAGTATGCTCCTTACCAATGTACACAAAACCAAATGAGTATAGGCTACAGGCTGGTACATAGTACACTTGGCTGCCTTGTTTATGTACGGTAATCGAGACTCTACAAATTCCACTTATTATTAATCAGCCTAAATTTACAAACACCTCTTAATGCCACTCATAATCTCAAATTTATTTATGGCCTACTGTAATTATCTGCTGTTGTTTGAAATATTAAATATTTTTTAAATATTTTAAAGTTTTGCCTAGGCCATTCCATTACCACATATTCACAGATTATATTCAGGAAATACTGTACAGGTACAGTACTGTATGAAATCATGAATAATTAAGTGATTACAGACATCTGAACCTGAACTCATGAATATTCTATAGCAATCATAAATATTCATAAAGTTGACCTGGGCACTACATGCGGGGATGGTTATTTTTAACATTCCTCAAATACCGTTGATTTATATCAGGGTACTGGAATGGGTTAATAGCCAAGCCTTAGCACATCTACCATATTGCTCACTGAACATACTACTGCTACAATGAAATACAGTAAGCAGAATGATATTAATATTCTATATTCGGAAACGACACTTTTACAACAGTGGTACTATTAGTACATAATGGTGGCATCCAAAGAAAAACAAAACCAAGTAAATCAAAACTTACACCAAGCTATTGAAAAAAATAAAGAACAGAGTAAACTAAAAAATAATAAAAACTTGATTAGAACAGTACAATAACAAACTTAAGTATCCAGGCGTTCCAGAGGGTACAATAAGCATTATTGGTCCTGCCCAAGATTTCTAAAGCATTAGCCAAGCAGAGAGAATCCAGTACTCCCCACCCACCTGGGTAAAAGGCTGATTTTTGTTGTTACTTTTCTTTACACAATAGGCTCAGTAGTAATGTGTGTCATTATTTTTTATTCACCTTTTTTAGAAATAGGTTTCAATAGGTTTTTTGTTTACTTACGGTATTACCTAATAATTTTTTTTCCCTCTTGACTTAGCTTTCAGTAATAGAATTATTCTGCAAAATAAGAAATTTTTTTCTGCTCTCTTCTAAAACGAAGTTCGGTAGATCACTGTCTACCCCATCCATAATTTGTTGGCACCACATTTTTACTGTGATGAGCAGCAAATTGCTGTGCACATTTTAAATTAATGACAAAGTACACTAGGTCATCCCTGAATTTCAATAATGTGGCGACGTGAGTCATAGCACAGGATGTTAGCCTTAGGCCCCAGGAAAACTTACAGCAGATTATTAGAGGAAGTGATCTTATGAAGGCTGTTAATTTCAATTAGGCCTATGGTATTCTAAAGTTATACGATAAAAAAGAAAGCATACTCTTAATTTTAGGCAGATATTTTATTTAAAAATTAATAGAGAATTCCAAAGATCTATTTACTTTACAGCATGTTAGGAAAAACTTGTATAGTTATAAATACAAGTAATAGAGTAGGAAAACATTAAAAATATAATAAATATTTATTATTAACTTAAACTGTTGTAACACTTTGTTGTCTGACTTATAAATATTTTATTACGCAAGCGTTCGCCAGCAGCCTACAGTATATTGGCTTCATCAGGTGCATTACAAAGATGAATCTGTGATTAATCTGAAAATAGAAAGTGCTTAATACTTGAGTATTTATTTCTGGAAATTGCAATTAAAGTAAAGTTGACCAAATCACATGGAAGTGAAATGGAAAATCAACAAGATTAAATTCATCTTCACATTTGCGTTACAATGAGTTGTTTTTTTGGACTATCCTTACCTGACCCTTGACATTGTTTATTTGATCTGTTTTTACTGTTGAATAGATTTATGATCCAGAATGTATATTTGCACTAACAGTTGGCTATTAATACTTACTAGGATGCATTACTGTACATTGCATCATTCTCTTGCATCAATTCAATTAAATTCACTCATAACTACTATAAATAAACTGAATACTTAGTTTACAGTATGAATGCTAAACGCCCACAGGCTTATAATAGTGTCTCTATCGTGGCCTACCAGTGAAATTCAACTTTCAAAACAAACACCTAAATAAGAGTGTAAAAAAATCAATTGTTTCTCTGCAGTATCTGTCTCTCCGATTACCATGGTTACAGTACCAACAAAATAAGCTAGTTTCAATGATATTTTTTTTGTTTTTTTTTTCTTTAATTTTTAAGCCACAAGCTTATAATAGTGTCTCTACCAGTGAAATTCAACTTGCAAAACAAACACGTAAATAAGAGTATAAAAAAATTAATTGTTTCTTTGCAGTGTCTGTCTCTCTGATTACCAAGCTCAAACTGAGCTACTGTAGTTTATCAATGATTTTTTTTTTCCTTTTTTTCATTTTTAAATAAATCATTTTTTTAAAATATTTTGTCTTATTTCAAATTATAATTGGAAATATTGGAAATTGGAATGTTGGCTGGTCCCCGTGGCACCCACAGTACAGCGCCAATACTGGCATGTAATCAAGAGTGTACATTGTCCCTTATCCCATGAAACTCCCCATGTGAGGGTTATAGTACTAACTGTATATATAGACAAAACAAATATTTTAATTTAAAACAGATGCTAATTGCATCCTAGCCAACTTAGGTTATATATTGTATTGTATTGTATGTTATTTCATTGGCTGAATAAAGAATGAATGAATGAATGAAACGCTGAAACAGGATATTCAGCAAAGAGGAGAAAGAACACTACTCTCAGCCAAATGCTCAGCTCTACAGGGAATACAGTCAGTGGTTGTAATTTTTCAGGAAGTGCTACCATATTAAGCCCGGTATTCACTGCACACGATGGCAACACGACGACGAACGCACGCGACTGCGCGAAACTGACAGATCGCTTTTTTAATGAGGATCCGTTCAGACACTGACAACCAGCAGGCGGTGTTACGTCGGCTATTTCTCTCCGGAAGCAGAGGTGGATTGGTCGTGCGACGGTCGTTCGGCCGTCGTATGACGCAGTAAGTGCCCGGCTTAAGACAGAAATACTGTGTACGGTAAAATGAATTCAAGTTGTGATTGTAGTTTCATTATTACCTGTGGAGTACTTTACTGAACCTGTTAGGTCCATATTATTATGTTAGAACAAAGAAATAGAACACCATATGTGCATCTACAGTAGGGTAAAAGTGTACCGTATTCTGTAGGAATTAGGATACGATAGCCCTTAAAAAAAGAGGATATATTCTAGTCAATAGGCTAGACATGTTTAGAAATAGACCATTATTATTTGAGCTAAATAGTCTTATCTGTACCGTATAACAATGTTCTCCAACTAAAAGGAAAAGAATGAATTTAAAAACACTATGAATGATGAATGTTCAGTAACTTTAACCTAATTTCACCCTAACAAAAATTACAGGATACAAGTATGAAAATATTCAATATTTAATAATAATAATAATAATAATAAAGATTTATATATCGCATTACACTAAACAGCCAAAGCGCTTAACAATTATTAGAATTAGAAGCCTACTTGATATGTAAACTAAAGCTGAGAACACACTATGCCGATGGACATCAGCAGCCGATGCAACTACTATAAGTGGGAAACACAATGCGATGAAGAGCACACTATGGATCGGCTCAAACTGCCACCAATAATTAACAGTTTGACAGTGCGTCATCAAGAACCCACCCAGTATGGGGGTGGATTCGTGTGCTGACGGCTAACACGCTATGCGTCTGCCTATTGCCTCATAAGAAATATTGCTGTTCAAGGTTGGAGCTGCTATTTAGATAAAATCCTAATCATCAAAGCTCAATTTAGGTAGAATATTGTTCATCTGTAATTGAATTTTTTTTTATGTAATTCGCAAATGTCAAATACACCAAAAAAGTTGTGCAAGTGAGTGTGGCTTTTCCTTGTGAAAGCAGTTGTGGATGAGCATTAAAGGATTTGAACCCAGAGCTTTGACATAGGAAAGCAAACCTCTATCACGCACGCAAAATGTCCCATCAGATAACTCGTACCTGCTTTGAATAATTATACTATTCCCAGTGGCTGTGAACGTGTTAACCACCAAGCTAAGTTCAGGTTTTTATAATTAACTGTAAATTATTTAGTGTGTATGAATGCTCTTCTTACTCCAGTTACAGTATACAGGGAAGTTTGCATAGAAATGTTTTGCTGAAAAGGTTATCCTGTCAGTAACTTATTCCCTGATATTTTTACAGGCATCCCTGTGTATGTTCCCATGGTAGTGAGATTTTTGATAATGTAAATTAAGTGATGAATTGTCATAATATCTGCAAGATACCTGTAGGCTATAATTCTATCTACCAACCAATAGTTAGATACATTAACAAAAATGTTTTTGCAGGTATATTACTGTACCTGAGTTCTCTCTGGTCTTTAAAGCCTATTTTTGTGATGATATTTAACACTTTAAATTATGCCCCGTTGACTTACTCTATCCACACCTATAGTAAAATGATTGATTCAAATATGTTTCATACTTGGTTGCAATGCAATTTTTATCTTAATATCCATTCCAAATCAATCAGTCAAACACAGTGTCCCATCTATCTAGTTCAAATTACACTTCAATCTGACTCTGATGATAAAAACTGTGATCACAATCCTTCTTTAATGTTTATTTGTAAATCAGTTCTAAAATCAGCAGTGATAAACTTACCGGTAATTGGAAAGCTACAATAGAGTCATCCAACATTTGTACTTTCAGCGGCATAAGTTTTCCTTTACGAGCAGCCAGAGAGCGATTCGACTGCAACGTTCCAGGTTCGGACCTAGCAGTACTGTATGAGTGTGTTGGCGTAATACTTGGCGTATAACCGTACGAATAGCCCTGATCTGGCTCACTAAGATGATCCTGACTGTCAAGTGTTAAGGTATGGTTCCCTGGGGTGTAAGAGGCAGATGCTGAGCCATTGAAGGCACCTCGACTATCCGCTGTGTAGCTCATATTTGTTTTTTTATTCCTAGAATTATTCACGAAAACTATTCCCTTTAATCATTCCTGTAAAATAAAAAGAATTGTGTGATCATAATTTGTTGCCTAACTGATTTATTCACAAAATGATGATCAACATGACAAAAAAAATGCAATGCAAAAAAATAAAAAGTTAAAAAGTTTACCCTCACTTAATATGGTTCAAATAAATCAATAAAAACACAAAGTAATTGATAGGGTGATGACAGAAGGAGGGAGGACTGTTACAATATCCAAAGTCATGAGTATACACAAACAATAACTCCCCAGAGATAAATTATGAAAAACACTGTGTTTGGTATATAGCTTATTTTCGATACAATGAATTATTGAATATCATATTGAATACCTAGAATTTCTTTATTTATAATTTAAGAAAGGAAATTTGAGTTATTAATTAATAAAGAAAGTTCAACAATGTGTCATAGTTATCATTCATACAGGTACTATAGGTATAAACATTCTTTTGAAAAAAATCTGTTTCAAACTTTCACTTGCTGCAAAAAAAAAATGAACAAAATATTAATGACCTGAACTTGAATTAGTCATTCTCAAAGTGAGACAGACACACCTAGACTACAGTAAGGACTAGACCAACTAACTAGTGGTTTGAGCAGAAAGTTATTGATTTTGTGTCAACGATACGCATAGGTACAGACTTCGTCCCACCACAAAGTGAGCAAAGCTCTTCAAGGCCAAAAAACCTAATGTAGGAAAATTGTCAAAATATTTACTGCATATTGTATTTTCTTTTTACATTAGTGTATTGTGTACTATCTATAGGCTTGATAACAGCCTTGTGTGACGCCTAATGGGCACAGATAGGCCTCGGCTTAAGCCAGTCTAGCCTTGACAAAATAAGCGGTACCGATACCAACTAAAAAACATACTTCATCAACCGTAACAGTACACTCCTCAGGTCAGGAGGTAGCTTCCCAATCAGTTGCAAATTAGGAGCTTAGTAAACGCACCAAAAAGTTGAAGTGGAACAAATCATCACATAATTCCATTCATTATATTCCATGAGTCGCATCCATTTATGCTTGATCACTTTACAAGAACGGTTTACTAAAGTAGGTTTACCTGAACTAAATACTTACGCTAGGCCCAGGCTAAACAAAAAAAGGGAATGCGCGCCTGGCGGACAACTTTCTATCTGATCCTAACCCTTCATGACAGCAACATAGCAATAAAGCTACAGTTTGTCAATGTCAATGCTTGTTACCCTTACTCTTACATGCCACAATATTCATTAAATAAGTAAGTAACAAAATGATGTTGATACATACCTCTACAATAAATCTGTACCGAAATAAATGTAATTATATTGCGCAAAGTAACTCACATCGTAACTTTGTGAGCATCGTAATCATCAACACGCCTTGATCATCACAAGCTTACCCTCTTTTCGCGAGGAGAGAAGCATTGTTCACTCCGTTCGACTGTACCTACTTACTCCCTCTGCCGTGTTCACTTATTTGCTCATTCTCAATCTAAAAATAACAGTACTTTTACTTTATTTGGATTTATTGTAAATTTAATTAGAGCAAAGTTTAATACAAAATATAAATGTTATGGTATGTTTCCATAAGTTAAATGTTGTAGCCAATTTTCTTTAAACATTCAGGGGGAGGCTGGATTACTAAGGGTCTACGGAAGGGCTACAGGTGGCGCTATTCAAAACCACAATAAAGGCCTGAACCAAAGAGTAGCGTGAACCTAGGAACCCAGACTATTATGCAACTGCTAGCCCTCTACATATTCTGTCTGAGACAGTTGTCTCAGATTCTGTTCTCATTTCGTTCCACCTCCGTTTGAAAAATTCTGGATCCGCCCCTGCACTGTTGATAAAATGATCCTCTTCTAAATGAGTGGTCAATTCGATTCACACTTAAGTAATATTGACCTGATATGTTACAATATCATGACTATGGGTAATTTATCAATTGACGTTTATTTTAATTTTTTTGATCAAACTATATTCTTGAAGATTGACATGAAGAATGATCAAATATTGGTTTAAAATTATAAAATTGGATAGCAAAGACATCTAAGATTTATCGGATAAGGACAAGGATTGCTGGATCAGTTACATTAGGTTTCTTTTGTTTCATTATGGGTAAATCTGGATGAACCAAGGGGTGGGTGACGAAACAGCTTTCATTTATAATTTGTTCACGATGCCATGATATAATGATCAAAATTGGTTTAGTAGTGTAAATAACTCAAGTGAATTAAAACGGAAGATTCAGCATACTTTTTTCAATTGAATGTTACCTGTCAATGAATATTAAACCTTATTTTAAAATGTTAATGATTTCTTTTCGTGTATTTAATCATAATGTAGGCTTCGGTCTTAGGATGGCCAGGCCCGTACGCAGGGGTGGGGGTGCGACGGGTACCCCCTCCCGACCCACAAATTACCAAAGGTCCACATTTTCGAGGGTAGAAAATTGAAAAATCACCACCACCCTACACATCTTACTGTATTATCAATGTTAACTCAGATAATTTAAAAGTCCATGTATATGCTAATAATTTTTTCAGTTACAGTTTGTATTATACAGTGGTATATCTGAAAGTTTTGCATTGGGGGAGGGGTTCGATGATTATGTTTTGCTTCAAACTTTCCAATTGGGTGGGTGGGGGAGGGAGCTCTCTTGGGGATGCACACTCTTTACTACTCCACTAGTACCATCAAAAAAAGAATTTTTTTTCACAATCAAAAACAATCTTATATTAGAGGCTTTTTATAGACCATCAAGAGTGCCTTTTTTATTTGGATATTGTATGCAGTGGCGGATTCAAGGTGACTAAATTGTTCAAAATTTAAAGAAATATGGAGACATAGAGCAAATTGTATTCAAATTTCAAGTCTGAGAGTGCCATCTCCGGCCATCTAGAGGTGCCACAATCATGAATTTTCTTACGACGTCAGCCCAACCATGGTGGGGTTGTGGTGTTATCAACTCTCAATCAATACCGTATCCAAGATTTTCAAACATTGCGGGACAATATCAGGGTGGACCCACTTTACACGTACATTCAAATACCGGTAATGTAGACCCAGTTTCTTAAAAGTTGACCCATTTTACGCAAAAATATAAAAAATCTGGACCCATTTTCTTAAAATTTTACCCATTTTAGGCTAAATAATAGAAATTTGTACCCATTTCTCATAAAGTGGACTCATTTTATGCATGAAATTGCATAATTTGGACCCATTTTTAAAATGTGGACCCATTAGAAAAATTGTGTGGGACTGTCCCAACTGTCCCAATAGCTGGCTACTGCATTGCTCTCAATCTATAAAATCCTTCGCCACCCTCTATATCAAATTCCTTAAATCCGCCACTGACAGTGGTATTTCCTCCATCATGAAGTCCCTCCCTGGCCTCGCATCAAATGCCTAGATCCGCCACTAAACCGTATGCATCTTCAGAAATCGATTAATGATCTGCTCTTCCTAGTAACTTGGTTAAATTTTCCCGACTGTTTCATTCAGGTCAGTTGAACCGTTTTTGAAATATCTAGTATTGTATGTTTGCCCTTAAATCCCATTAATTGATCCTTACATCCACACCCCACTCTGAATTGTCACTCAATATTAGGAGGCACATATTTGATATATGGCCTATGCTTGTACAGAGTTTGGAAAAGTGGCCAAAGCGCGGGACGGAATAGATAGGGAAAACAACATGGAAGTAAAAAGAAGAAAAAAATCAGAGCAAAACATCGCTAAACAATCGTCGTCATTAGGGTGGTCACCAATATACAATTTATGAAGCCACATAAAAGAATTGGGAAATAAGAACTACATCATCCTAGTCATGTCTTGTATGTTTCATTTATTTCGTCAAACATTACAAACAAATATAACAATAGTCCAAAAAATCAGAGACAGGATAAACAAAAAGCAAAGGTTTCTCTACATAATTTAAGAAAAAAGAACAAAACTTGGTATGACATGTGTACGAGACTCTTACAATAAAAACAAATGAACCGAACACAATGACATCACTGGAAATAATTGTTATTATAATTACAGTATGTCGTTTTTTTTTTTGTCATGCGCAATCTGTTCATAACAAAGGATTTTTATAGTCCAGTCTCGATCATTACAGATTCTGCATTACTGTACTGCATTAAAAAATAAAATTGAACATGGCAGGCATTCGACGTCGAGTGGAATTGGAAGACGAACAGGAAATGCTTAACAATGTGTTCAGAAGACGCTGGCACCCTGAGCAGACATACCTTGTTGGAAGTTTTCATGAAGGCATGCCGTCATGGGTTCGAGCGATCATGACCAAATGTTGTGGAAACCGACGTTCCCAATGGTACTGTGACAACCTCCAAAAGAGCAGAGAGAGGGTTGTGTGATGGCTGAACAAGATCCAAAAGAGTCAGTGTATCTGAAGCTCGTAGTCGATAAAGGGAGCCTGGATAGCGATTTCAGAAGTGCTATTGATGATAGTGGTGTATGTAAGTCCAACATTTTTAAAAAGGATAATTTAAAGAACTACCACTCTAATGTTAAGATACGTGGTCCCTCAATCGCAGATAATTGGAAACCAGGATATGATGAGCTGGTAGAAATGAAAATTGACAATCTTTTTGCTTAAAATGTCAATCATGGCCGCCTTTTACTGTTGATTTCTTTACCAGAGAGAGGCTAAACAAGTGGCCATCACAGCAGTTGTTAGACAAGATCGCATGTGTAGAATGTCTAGTAGTCCCTGTTGGAAACCCAGGTAGCGCGTCAAACGATGGTGGCCCAGGTAGCGCGCCGAACAATGGTAGTTGGAGACTCTCATTTTCCTTAGCTGAGAGAGAACTTATTCATGGAATAATTGAACCGTATGCTAAATGCATGGTTGCCCTGAAAGCAGTCAAGAACAAGTATATTGTATACAGTGATTCTGACGAACCAACACCATTCTGCTCGTATTTCATAAAGACCGCTTGCTTGTGGTTGTGTGAAACTGAAACATTCCATAAAGATTACAGTCTCATGGATTTAATTAGAAAAGTTTTAGATTGGCTTATAGATTGCTATGAAAACGAAAAGATGCCTCATTATTTTGTTCCCCAACAAAATTTGATTGGTCACCTCACAAAGGACTGTTGTGATGGCGTAAGAGCAAAACTGACAGAAGTTCAGAGAGATATTAGGAAAAAGGTGATATCCAGTTTCGTTAATGATTGTTTCTGGTCTAATATCATAACAAAGGTATGTGATAAATGCCTACTCGAGGTCTCTGGAGGCAACGAACCTGGTGACTATACGACACTGGAGACAAAACTCTTAAATCACCAACTGCCTACAAATGCCATTGAAGAGGCGAACAAACAATTTCGAAACGCATATAGTTATTTTGAAAACTTAAGTATAGCAAATATAGCGGGATTTGGACTTTCTGCCTTAGCTGTGTTACTTCATGTTCTTGAAAAAGCTGTGTTACTTCTTGTCCTTGAAAAAGCTGTGTTACTTCTTGTTCATATGAAAAAGAATCTCTCCGAACATATCGAGGCGACTCTCAGCATACCCAGGGAAAGTAGGCCTATGTTATCATTATCACAATCATTTGAATTTATATATTTCCATGCAACAAGTACGAATGGCCTAGGCCTATATAATTATTGACGTAAACTGTAAAAAAAAAAACATGCCTGACGTTAATAATTGGAATTTACAACTTACTTTTTCTTTGAAGTAGCATACCCCATACAACAATGATTTTGAATTTACGTATTTTCATGCAGAACGTATCTTTATTTTAGAAAGTTTTATTTTATTTTGAAGAAGAAAACAATTTTTGTGTATGTGTAGGGGTGGGGGCGTGATTGCAACGGTCAATAAATAATATAACATTAAATATTCGAATTAATTTGTCTTTATTTGAGTTTATTGCCCTACCGTTCAATTATGTACTTTTGCATAGAAGATCTTAAAAATTTACTGGGGTTTTCGTAGTGAAACATTTGTAATGGTAATGGTTTGGGACTTCTAAAGCGCATACTACATGGTCTCTATGCGCTTAAGTTACACAAAAGAAAACAAACCTCTGAAGCTCAAGGTAGTCGATAAAGGATGTACTATTGATAGTGGTGTGTATAAGTCCAACAATTTTATTGAAGATAATTTAACGAACTACGACTCTAATATTGAGATACATGGTCCCTCAATCGCAGATAATTGGAAACCAGGATATGTTGAGTTTGTACAAATGAGCATTGACAATGTATATTGCTTAAAATGTCAATCATGGCCGCCTTTTACTGTTGATTTCTTTACCAGAGAGAGGCTAAACAAGTGGCCATCACAGCAGTTGTTAGACAAGATCGCATGTGTAGAATGTCTAGTAGTCCCTGTTGGATACCCAGGTAGCGCACTGAACGATGGTGGATGGAGACTGTCATTTTCCTTAGCTGAGAGAGACCTTATGCATGGAATAATTGAACCGTATGCTAAATGCATGGTTGCCCTGAAAGCAGTAAAGAACAAGTATATTGTATACAGTGATTCTGACAAACCAACACCATTCTGCTCGTATTTCATAAAGACTGCTTGCCTGTGGTTGTGTGAAACATTCCCACATAAAGGTTACAGTCTCATGGATTTAATTAGAAAAGTTCTAGATTGGCTTATAGATTGCTATCAAAACAAAAAGCTGCCTCATTATTTTGTTCGCCAACACAATTTGATTGATCACATCACAAAGGAACGTTGTGATGGTGTAAGAGCAAAACTGACAGTAGTTAAGAAAGATATTTGGACAATGGTGATATCCAGTCTCGGTAATAATTGTTCATGGCCTAATATCATAACAAAGGTATGCGATATACTCGAGGTCTCTAGAGGCAACGAACCTGGTGACTATACGACACTGGAGACAAAACTCTTAAATCACCAACTGCCTACAAATGCCATTGAAGAGGCGATCAAAATATTTCGAATCACATATAGTTATTTTGAAAACTTAAAAATTGCAAATATAGTGGGATTTGGATTTTCTGCCTTACCTGTGTTACTTCTTGTTCTTGAGAATCGTATGGAAAAGAATCTCCCCGAACATATCGAGGAGACTCTCAGCATACCCAGGGAAAGTATGATACCAATTATAGAAAGTATAGAAAAGATAGTGCCTCTGGGATATGCGGAAATGTTCAAAACACGTTTGTATAGATATTTAGGCGATGCTTATACCGACTTATTGATATATCTACGAAAAAAAGGTTTTGGTGAAGCTTTAGCTCTGCACTGGGCTACTCCGTTACATTACTATGAGTTAGGAAGCGAAATGGTTTTCCCTGACGAATGGAGTGACGAAGGCATAGGCAGCAAAGCCCTTGTAGTAAAATACCATTATTTAATGGGTAACAACACAGAATTGAAAGAAACGCTTACATTGTTTGAACCCATACTCTGTAAAGTTAGAGAAAACAAAATAGATATTAACAGACATCCTGGTATAGAGATAACCACACCTTTTTCATTGTCATATAGCGCATGGGCCGCTGATGAACTTTTGCAACATCTTGTCAAAAATTCCCAACAACTGAGATTTTGCATGCACCCAATCGCACTTGTTCTTTATATAAAGGCTAGGGTGTTACTTAATGAGGGGGACGTGGATAATGCATCAAATATTGTGAAGGACATGAAGGAATACCTGAAAGAGATACATAGTCTACAGAATACGAATATATTGATATTCATAAACATAATTGAAGCTCTAATAGGCCTACTTCTTGTAATGCGAAATGTTTATATTTTGAAATAGGAGCAGTCTTTAATTATTATTGGCAGAGATGTAAATGAAATAGAAGAAAAAAACATGTCAGACTTAATAATTGGAATTTATACACAATTATTTGAATTTATATATTTCCATGCAACAAGTACGAATGGCCTATATAATTATTGACGAAAACTGTATTGAAATAAAAAAAATAAATAAAAATGCCTGACGTTAATTGGAATTTACAATTTACTTTTTCTTCGAAGTAGCATACCCCATACAACAATGATTTTGAAGTTATGTATTTTCATGCAGAACGTATCTTTATTATAGAAAGTTGAATTTAATTTTGAAGAAGAAAACAATTTTTATTTAAGGTGCCAAGCCCATGCTTAATAATTCTACAACGAGTCTTTGTTAGCTGTACCCAGTATCGCATGATTATAGAAATCGACGGGAAAATTAACTAAAACCAATCATCATCACTGTCAACCCTAATCATTGTTGTCATCAAAGTCAACCCTAATCATTGTTGTCATCAAAGTCGCCACCGTTGCTGCTGCCACCACCACTGTAATCGTCACCCTTATCATTATTAACATCTTATCATCATCATAGTTTTATATGGTGCGACATATGAAACAAAATAGTCGATAACATTAGTAATAGTTATTAGCAAATAATTGCTTACATATAATTTTATGTACAAAATTTACAAGTTAAGAACAAAATTAAAGTACAGTAGATTATTTTAACAACGTACATATGATACACACACTTAATTGCACCAACATTATCCTCCTTCAAAAATACCACTGCTCATTATTATTCATATTTTAATCCTTACTTGAGCAATAAATAATTCAATTCAGAAGTAATCTTCTGTATGGATTTAATTCAAACTTATTTCAACTGTAATGAAGAGATAAATTACTAAATTTATCAATCAATCATTAATGAATCAATTACTGTATTCAAATAAATCATTCAATTATATATTTAATTGATAAACCAATAAAACAAAATATACTGAATCAAGATTGATCAACCAATAATCAATCATTCATTTAGAATGAACCAATTAATCAATCATCAATTATTTAATCACTAAATTGATTAACCAATAAATCAATCAATCAACATTGATTATGTATTATTTTTTGACATGTTCTCTTCTATAAGCTGTATTCCTTCATTTTGTTACCAATTCCTTCAATAGCTTGTAAACTTTCCTGAACTCCTCGCTGTCGTTCCTTAGTATCCTTCATTGACTGGGCACGCACTGCACTATATTTTGATTGAATCTTAGGAAAAAAAAAACAAGGAAATAAAAAGTAAATAAATTTCAAGGTTTATTGAAAATTAATCAAAAAATGTACCATAGTTTATTATTTTGTTATTCAATTAATTTTTTGTTCACTATTAAAACATTTAATATTACTGTAAAACTTTTGAAATGGATACTGCCAATGTCTCTCAATATTTAATTGTAGAAAGTGATTAATTTTGCTATTGGCAATCAGGTCCACCTACTGAAAATCTCTTAGCTCAGATGAGGAGCTCTAGAAACACCCGGCTGATTGATTAACAGATCTTTTTTGTATGGGCAGCTGTTAGGGCCAATATACTCTACTGCCTCTATTATACTGCCCTCATCGGAGCTTTTGAGATTATGAGAACTTTTTATAAATTGACTTGCTTTGGTGTTTGGTTATTGAATGTTTCATTTTATATCAAGTGACAAAATAAATGAAATGAAATTGTTATTGGGTCATCTTCAGGAAAGTGGTCCAATAATTCAAAGTGTTCAAAGCTCTCTTCAATTCATGAAATTTTTACTCTACGTTATTTAAAATTAATCAGTGCAGCAGCTGTGGATTTCATGCTATATTTGTATAATAATTTTGTAAATTAATTTGCTGAGGGACACACAAATTCAGGAGTCCCAATTTGGGAGAAAGAGCTCTGTGGTCTAATGAGCTCAAGGTGGTCCTAACACCTAATTGTATTTTGCTGTGCATGGTGATACTCAATGCGAACTAACTTCAGGAAGACAAATAATCAGTTAAGTAAAAACATACGATCATCATAAATTTGTGGAAGATGGGTAAGTTTACTGGGGGGGGGGGGGACCACTATTGCTTGCTCACAGGAGGGCTGTTACGGATTTCCAGACTTGAGTCACAGGAAACTTGGAACCCCTGCAACATATACAGCAATTCAGTTCACTTTCGTGTCCCTGAGAATGACCTCAGTAGTCAATATTTTAAAATGTTGTAGCGTAATACAAGAGAAAAACCAATTCAAAACACACATATTAATGCCAAAATGTGTATGATTACCTCATTGAGTAACTGAACAACCTCTGGGTATTCCCGATGCATCTTTTTCTTGTCATCTAATACATGCTGCAAGTTTTCTTCTGTTAGTAGTATTCGTTCCTTCATATCCTCCAAAATAGTTTCAACCTTCTGAGCCCGGTTTTTATGAGGCGGCTTTGTTGGGGGTTGACTCTGAAAAGAAAATAATCAGATATTTTATTTTACTTTTTAAATGATATATTGCCAGGGAAAATCCTACAAAATTAAATTAAAGTATTGAATTGCTCATCTTAAAATGCAGTGGCTATTGATGCATAATTATGTCAAAAACCAATTCTAAATTCTGACTGGATGTTATTGTCCTAATCCATTTACACATAAAATAACTAATATCCAATCACAATAATTTAAATATTGCTTGAAGACTGGTGTAACGACAGCCACTTCCTTTTTAAAACTTTATTTGACAAAAATAATGTGACATGCCTAAATATGGTAATGATGACATCACAACATGACCATATATAGGCACATCATGACTATATATGGGCATACAACAGTTTTTTTTTGTCAAAGATTTTGATAGTGTGGACAGAGCATCAAGCATCATCAGGAGCTTCCTATGAGACACAGATGTAAACAATTCAGTTTTCACTGTTATGAAAGATACTAGAAACACAAGATAGACTTCTTGCATAGCAAAAGTGAAGCGGATATACATCATAGTTTTACGCATATATTCTGATGTACAAGGCGCCCTTCTCTTCCAGTCACTAATCAGAGTCCGGTCATACGATTCTGCGCTTTTGTGTCTGTCATTTTATTCTTTTGATTTAGGCCTCAATGTTTTGCGATTAACCCTTTCCAGTCATACGGCCTCGTGACGACGGCCTCTTTGGCCGTACTTTAATACGAGGGGCGTCGTACGTACGCCCTGTATAGGTTTTCTGATAACTTGTTTTATATAATTGTTTGAGAGTGATGTAGGAGTATTTCTGAAGAGGGCCTCCTGTATTCAGACCAAATAAAATGGCTGCAGGCCAAGTAAAAACCAGACAATTAGTGTAGATGATGTAATTTCTCAGCTTTGGTACAGCCTCAGGCAATGGTAATGGGGCAGACTGGAAAGGGTTAATGTATACCTACTTTTTTGCATATTATGTATAATGGCAAAGATTTCTTCCTTCGCCAAAGTAGATTTGTATTCACCGCTGTCTGTCCAGTGGAATAAATTGCTATATCGCATCGCAGTGTATAGATATTATTTTTTATATCCCAACGTACGCTGTGCCCAATTTTTTGTATTCCCTCCATGCATTTCGGTGCTACAGTTTTTTTTATGTAGAGAGCTTATATAGCGCATAATGTAAAATACCTCTATGAGGGAGTGGGATGAATTATTAAAAGTATCACCTAATAACTATAACCTATTGTTATACAGATGGTTTACTATAGCAATCAATAAACAGATTAACAGCCAATTTAATGGTCTATAGAAAGAACAGAGGATTACAAGTCTGTTAATTGGTAATGGATGAAAGCATTTTTCCACACTAATTATTAATTGAAAGCTTAACTTTAACAGACAACTGATAATGTATTAACTGAATTAAACCGCTTGGATTAATTACATTATTCGTGTGAAAGCTAATACCTACTTTAATACAGCAATTCAAAATTGGCTGTTAATCTATTTAATGATTGCCATCGCAAATTTGTATAACAATAGGTTATAGTTATTAGGTAAAACTCTTAATAATTTATTCCACTCCCTGCTGTAAAGTGCACAGAGGTATTTTACATTATGCGCTATATAAGTTGACAATCATTATTACTATTATTATAACAGCAAAGATACTAGAAACACGAGATAGAACTCTCTACATAAAAAAACTGTAGCACCGACATGCATGCAATTCAAAATGTGCCAGCTAATAATACAAACTTGATTATACATTACAATTAATTTCAAATTTTTTACTGTTCAGTTTTTTAGCTTAACAAAAAGATTATTTCTTTAATTAAGAAGTTTGTTCTATTTATTTTAAGTTTTTATCACCGCCAGCAGTCTATCTGATAGAAACATTTGGAATTTGATTAAAGGGGGCGCTGTTACAGCTGCATCCATAGCTGGCCATTCAGGTCTGTTTTTATTGGAAGCATATTTACGAGCAGGTTTAGAGTGTTGACTATATTCTTAACTTTTTGGAAGTTGTGACTTTGTACCGTTTGTATGATGATGACTGTTTAATGTCTTTGAAAAAATATTGTTTTGAGGATTTTGCTAAGCCTGACTGTAATGTCCCTACACAATGCACTACAGCGAAGCGATCCAAATCACAGACCCCCAACGCAACGGATCAAGCTAACTTTCACTACAAGCCTAAGGGGTATCATGGTAGACAAGCAGGCAGAAAGATCATCTAAAAGATTGAAGTAATACAGAATGTGTTTAACAGAAGCAAGCTTATGTGGAAGTAGTTTGGCGCAGCGGAAACGGTTTGGTTTCCCAACCTCCAGGTTGGAGTTTCAATCCCTCCCTGTGCATTTCGCTTGTGTCCTTGAGAAAGGCACTTTATCTGCGTTGTTTCTCTCCACCCAGGAGTATAAATGGGTACCTGGTGGAGATGCCTGTTACTGCACCAATATGGCAGCAACACCTAATTACAACTTTTCTTAACATTATAAAATTTTGTGAATCATGTCTCCATCATGTTATAGAATACTGTTTTAAATCACAATATAAAAAGCATTTCTTCAATGATTGATGGATTTTTTTTCTAATTGTATAGGCCTTTTTATGGTTTTTCTGCTGTTTAATTGTCATTTTCTTGCATTTTCAAAAATTGAAAATTTTTTAAATTGTATAGGCCTTTTTATGGTTTTCTGCTGTTTTGATTGTCTTTCCCTTTTTTCTTATATTTGATTGTTGATAATTCTTCTTTTTTCCGATATATATATTTATCTCATTTTAATTTTTTTAATTGGTCTAATACAGGACCATTTGAAAACCAGTTCATTCTGAAATGTTATCCTGTATAAAGATGTTTTAAATAAAATAAATAAAAAATACTGTCTTAAAATTACAGTGGATTCAAACAGACAAGAGAGTGAAGGAATACAACATAATAAAATGATACAACTGTATGAACATACTTTTTTATAGGGTTCAAAGGGCTTCTGGATTTTATCAAGGTTGACTGTATTCTGGTAATGGGTCTCCTGCTTAAGAGCCAGTCTTAGTGATCTCAGGTTGCTCTGGACATCCAGCATCACATGTACGTCGGGATCATCCTCGGCATCCAGCAACGACTCAAACCCTTTAAACTTGTTGGGAACATCTAAAGACTTGGCAGCACTGTCTATTCTTTTTTTCTTCTTTGTTTTATTTTTCTCGCTTGTTTGTTTTATTGCTACTTTTTCTGTCTGTTTTTCCTCTTCTTGATCATCAACCTAGAAAATAAATGCATTAATATACAAGTTAATAAATTGAAGTAAGGGCATACAATAAATCAACAAGAATGATAACATAAAAAATAATTACAATGTGAAAAAGATAACATAATGAAAACAAAATATAATAAGTAACAAAAATAATAATTGTAACACTGATACTAAAAAATAATAAAAATAACAACAATGATAATAGAGATATTACAACAAAATCAAGAAAAACACAATACAGTAGAACCTCGATTTTACGTACGGTACGGGACCAGAGGGCGTACGTAAATCGGGGGATTCGTAAAATAGAGGTTGGGTTAAATTTGTGGTAACCTTTGACC